GCTGTGCGGCACTGCCGGCCTGTCCGTCTGTGCCATCCCCGCACGGCTGCAGCCGGGGCTGTGCGGCACTGCCGGCCTGTCCGTCTGTGCCATCCCCGCACGGCTGCAGCCGGGGCTGTGCGGCACTGCCGGCCTGTCCGTCTGTGCCATCCCCGCACGGCTGCAGCCGGGGCTGTGCGGCACTGCCGGCCTGTCCGTCTGTGCCATCCCCGCACGGCTGCAGCCGGGGCTGTGCGGCACTGCCGGCCTGTCCGTCTGTGCCATCCCCGCACGGCTGCAGCCAGGGCCGGCTCCGGCACTGCCCCGGTGTCCGTCACACTGACTGTGCCAGCCGGGGCTGGCTCCGGCACTGCCCTGCCGCCCGTCTGTGCCACCCCCGCAGCCGGGGCTGTGCGGGACCCGGCCACGCTGCGGGGCGAGAGCGGCCCGGGCTCCGCCGGCCGTGCCCGCTCTGGGCACGCACCGGGCGGGCAGCGCCGCAGCGGGGGCGGCCCCGCGGTGTCCTCGGCCCCGGCCACCGCCCCCCGCACGCTGCCAGGGCCGGCGGAGCCACCGCCTCCCGCACACCCCAATCCCGCTACGCTCTGCCGCCGCCCCCCGTACACCCCAGGCCGCCGGAGCCGCCGCCTCCCGCACACCCCAATCCCGCTACGCTCTGCCGCCGGCCCCAGCACACCCCGGCCGGCAGAGCCATAGCACATCCCGCACACCCCGGCCGGCAGAGCCATAGCACATCCCGCACACCCCCGGAGCCGCCGCCTCCCGCACAGCCCGGCCGGCAGAGCCCCCGCACAGCCCGGGCCGCTGGAGCCGCCGCCCCCCGCACACCCGGGCCGCTGGAGCCGCCACCGTGCGCCGGCGCGGGCCGCGCATGGCGGGCTCGGAGCGCAGCACATCCTCCCCATCGCGGCACTCGCTCGCTCATTCACTCACTCACCGGATCCTGGCGGCCGTGGTGGCGTTGCCGGTCTGTGCCCGCAGGCACGCCAGCAGCAGCAGCCTCATCGCGGCCGCTCCGCTCCGCTCCGCCCGCCGCCGCCTCACCTGCCCGCGGCCCCGGAAACGGCGCTGCGGAGCGGGGCCGGAGCGGCCGCGGCCCCGAGCCCTGCGCGACCAACCCGTGCGGGGATGGGCCGGCCTTGGCAGGTGCTCCCGGGCAGAGGGCACCTGCATACCTGGCAGAGGTCTGGGTGCCTGCCCACGCCTCTAGACAGCGCCGCGTGCCCTCGTTAGTCCGGCACAGAGATGACACGCTCGGACCGTGGCCGGGGAACGGCAATTCAAACCCTCCTGAGGACAGCATCACTGCCTCTGCCTCCTGCTGCCACCCAGGAGGTGCCTCATGCTCGGGGCACGGACAGCGTTGGGAAAAAACCTAAAGGTGGGTAAGATGCCAAGCGCCAGAGCAGCCAGAGGAATGTGCCAGTCCGAAGAGTAAGGAATGGGATGCTCAAAGACCTCTCCCGGCATCAGGGAGGCCACAAAATGCAGCAGAACCAAAGGTGTGTGAGACCAGGGAAAAGGCAAGAAACCACAGCAACAGGCAGAACCCAAAGATACAACAAACAGGGAAGAAAAGAGAACAAACCTGAACTCCAGATGAAGAAAACAATATCCCAAAGCAGCCAGCCAGTCTTCAGGATAAAAGTGTCCACCCCAATTACAGCCAGGAACACAGAAGGGCTGAGCAGGGCAGCAGGCAGGAAGGTGAGAGGCCAGCTCAGGGAGTCTGTTGGGAGATTAATAGGAAACAGGTGGCTGATTGTAGATACCCACCTGAACATGTTCCAACATCTTGTAACAATATTGAGACCAGGTGCAGGACATTGGTGATGATGAGAAAGGGGCTGATTGGACAGAAAAGTCACTTCTTTGCTTATAACCTGGTCAGGTTGCCTGATGTAATTCATAACAGGGTCACACAGATGCCAGCTTCCCCAAAGCTGGAGAAGACAGGGAAAAGTGGTCTTCAAAAACCTGTACTGCCTTGTTATTCATATTTCACTGTCAGGGAGACAGAGAAAAAACAGGCCACATGCAGAGAAATATTGAATTAATAATTTTTGAAATAGTACTTCTTCCAATAATTTGTGTGGATTTCTGAGGCTAACAGGTGTTCTGAAATTGAGGATTTAAACGTCATAAAAACACACAATGGAGTGGGTTCTGGCAAACTGTAAACATTTTGGTAGACAGACTCATGTTTTGCTAATGAAACTTAATGCTGCAGAGCTGTGTTAACTGCATCTCACTGAGTTATCCCTTAGATTCAGCACAACATTCTTTAGACCACTTCAAACTCCACTGGAACTAAAAATTTTGGCTGCAACCTAGAAGAGGAACAAATCCTGCAGAAATGCCAAAAATAGGGTAAGTGCTAATCTAAGGGTAGGCAGAACCAAACCATTGGGTCTAGAACGGTTTTGTCACCATTCTAGAAAGTGTTTCTGGCATGAAATCCCACTCCCGCTGAGATGTGGAGGGCTTTTGTCAGTGGGGCCAGGATTCCAGCCTGGAAGTGGCTCCTGTGAAGCACATTTGGGCTTCTCAGGTGTCCCACAGTCTGAGTGAAGCTCCACAGGTGCCTTTCAGCCCCTCCAGGTGTGTCACACCTGGCAGCTCTGGCAGTGTGTGCCCCAAAAATGGAGATTCTGCAGCTGTACCCTGGATCTGGCTGTGAAAGCTCAGAAAGCCACGTTTTGGGTTAGCAAAAGCTGTCCAACACATTTAGTGTGCAACACAAAGAAGAAAAAACACAAACATTAAAGTGAGACAAAGCCTGCTCCGTGAGAAATGAGAAAACTCAACCAGTCACCTGAGAAATAAAGAGGAAATAAAGGAAACATTCAAAGAGATCTCAACATGTTATCACTATTTATGGTAACTCTGGCTTTATGCTATATAGGCTTTGACTGAAAAAATAATCAGGAAATGTGCATTGCATCTTGAAAACATGGAAATGCATGAATGTATTCCTGTATAGCCACAGCTGCACTCACTGTGTGCATAGGAGGAGTCGTGGATGAATCAGAAGGAAGTTTTAAACACACTGTAGCTAAGTATTGTTTGGAGGGAAATTAAAACCTCCTTCCTGCTGTACTTCCAGAGAGAACAGTAACTTGTGAATTTAGTGAGAGTACCTGCATCTCTATTCCTGAAGGCTTAGGTAACATTTTAAGGTACATTGCAACTGCTGCTCAGCATTGTTAGGTGTTTGTACCAGTTGTGGGACAGGTCACTATAGAAATCTCACCTCACTCACCAAGGTAAATTATGAAGGGTCTAAAACATGAAAATAAGACACAGTAATACAAAGTGTGCTTTATTACTTTGAGTCTCCAGAAAATACTACCAAACTCCTCAGAAAGTGCAATCCCAGTTAAAATGACAGTACTGTATTAAGATAGGAAAAGATGAAATGTAATTTTGTTACAGAATCGGTCATGTTACAGTAGTTCACAAAGAAATGCCTGTACAACTGGTTGCTTTTTCCTCATTGTCCTTTGTCATGAAATTTCTTAACTAGTTAAGAAAGCAAATGTATGTAATCAGTCATTTTTATGGCATATGTTATTTACAGAGGCCCATTATTGAATGACTGTATTTACTTTTACAAGCATCACTTGCTCCAAAGTAAGTTATGCCTAAATGATTGGTATGTAACTACATGATGCCAATAAACTTAACTTTTTCCACTGAAAACACACAACCAGCAGTGTCTTACCCACTTTGTTCTGGCCAAAAATAAGACTTTTAGATCTGCTGCTGAAGACAATTTCATGCATTCCCAACCTGTACCTCAACACATGTGGTGCTGGAAATGCAGCACATCTCAGGGTTGTAATCTTGCTGATTGATGTTTTCCCATTTTAATCACATGCTTTGTCCCACTGAAATCAGAGTGTTCACTCTCCTGGATAATTCCTGCATGCCCTCACACCCAGCTGCTGCTCCCACCCCTGAGTCACCAGGCACATCCTGGGTGCTGAGCTGGCCTCAAACACATATAAAAACACGTATAAAAACACATGTGAAAACAGCCTTTTGCACCACACATGCATCACCTTTTCCTGCTGAAAGGCCTCGTTGTAAGACAGTCTTTAACTATAGCATTAAATAACGCTAAAAAAGATGATTTGGGGTCTGGAGCATCTCTTTTGAGAGAACATGGGAATTGGGACTGTTCAGTCTCAAGAAGGCTGAGAAGGGATCTCATTAATGCAAACAAATATCTCAGAGGTGGGTGCCAAGAAATTGGTGCCAGGCTCTTTTCAGTGGTGCCCAGCCACAGGATGAGGAACAATGCCCACAAGCTAAACCACAAGTTCCACCTGTCCGTGAAGAACTCTTTTCACGAAGGATGGCAGAGCAGCTGCCCAGGGAGGCGGCGGATCCTGCCTCCCTGCAGACATTCCACACCCACCTGGGCGCCTTCCCGTGCCAGGTGACCCTGCCGGGGCAGGAGCAGGAGCAGGCAGAGCTCCTTCCTCTGGGACGGTTCGGGGATTCTGTGCATTTCCATTTCCCTGTGCAGCCCCCGAGCGGCAGCCGGGTCACAGCGCGGAGAGGCGCCGCACACCCCGGGCTGCCCAGCTCCGGCTGGCGCTGCCGGCCGCCCTGACGGGCACCCTGAGGGACCTCCCGGCCGCTCTGACGGGCACCCTGAGGGACCTCCCCGCTGTCGGCCGGCCGCTCTGACGGGCACCCTGAGGAACCTTCCCAACCACTCGCCGGGGTTCCCTCATGGCCAGGCCACTTCCGCCCCGCCGCGCCCCACTCGGCCATATGACGGCGCGACGAGCGGAGTGACAGCGCCCCCGACCAATGGCACCGCGCCGCTGCCGGGAGCGGGGCCGGGCACCGCCGGAGTGACAGCGCCTTCGACCAATGGCGCCGCGGCGCTGCCCGGGAGGCGGAGCTGGGCCGGCGGCGGGCGCGGGTCCCGGCGGGCGGGCCGGGAGCGCGGCGGGGCCGCGGCGGGGCCGGGGGGACGCGGGGCCATGGACGAGGCCGAGCCGAGCGAGCGCAGCCCTCTGCTGAGCAGCGGCGAGCGCGGGCGGGCGGCCAGCAGCGCCTTCCAGGGCCGGCGGCTGGCCTGCGCCGCCGTGCTGCTGGCCGAGCTGCTGGAGCGAGTGGCCTTCTACGGCATCACCTCCAACCTGGTGCTGTTCCTCAACGGGCCGCCCTACGGCTGGGAGGGCGCGCAGGCCAGCCAGGCGCTGCTGCTCTTCATGGGCATCACGTACCTGGTGTCGCCGTTCGGGGGCTGGCTGGCCGACGCCCTGCTGGGCAAGTTCGGCACCATCCTGCTCAGCATGGCGCTGTACCTGCTGGGCATGCTGGCCTTCCCCGTCATCGCCGCGCCGCACACCCGCCAGGGCCTGTGCGGGGACATCCCCCTGTTCCCCGTGGAGAACTGCTCCTCGCCGGCCGCCAACGCCACCCTGGCGCCCTGCTCGCAGGCCGGAGCCACCCGCTACTGCGCCACCGCCACCTTCGTGGGACTGGTCCTCGTGGGGCTGGGCGTCGGCTCGGTCAAGGCCAACATCACCCCGTTCGGGGCCGACCAGGTCGGGTATCGTGTGGCAGCTGCTGCGCTCGGGGTGCCCAGGGTGGCAGAGGGGCTTGCCGTGCTGGGGTGGGCAGTGCCCGGCCGACCGAGCTCTGTGCAGGTGCTCAGCCTGGCAGGGAATGGCATCGCCCTGTGCAGGCCGGCTTGTTCAGCCGGGCCATGTTTGGTGGCATTTCGGTGCCTCTGGGGTGTCCGATCCCTTTGCTCTCCTGGTTACCCTGCCTCACATGTGGGGTATGAGTTGGCTGAGCCATCACCAGCTCGAGGACTTGGGTTGAATACTTAATGGCCATTAAGGGGACTGTTAATTGTCCTCGCTGGTGAGTTTGTACCCAGTTAACGTGACCTCAGAGCTCATCAGATGAAGTACAAGAGACACATTTGAGCTGGGACCAGGATGACATGGGCCTCCTAAGGCAGTGTCAGAGGCCTTTACCATCCTGAAATAAAGGATCTAACAGTGCAGAGCGAACAGTTTTTATGCTTTAGGTATTTGTGCACTGCCTTGCCCCAGAGTGGCATTTCTGTGCAGGCTGGTGCTGCATCACATGATGGGGGAAGCTGCTCTGGCCGTGGTAAACATCACCTGGGCTGTTCCCTAGGACACATCCTGTCAAATGACCTTGTGGGGACCCGCCACAGTGATCTCATTCCTTGGGTCATCCCTGCAGAACCCAGGGGCTGCACAGAAAACCTTTGAGAGGCAGCCTGCAGCTCAGTAGCAGCTGGAATGCTCTGTTACATGTAGGTTTTTTCCAGAATTTCAGCATGCTCAGGTACTGCCGAGCAGCTTTTCTAACTACACTGAAAGTCCAGTGGCATGTCTCTCTGCTGGCTCACTGAGTTCTGGTTAGAGCAGGTATCAGAAGTGCCATGCATTCTTTGAAAGAGGGAGAATCCACCACAGAATCATTGCCAAACATACCTCTGTTCTCTGTTGTGCAGTTTGCATTTGTCATTCCTTGGCATTTCATGTGTTCTGAATTCTGGGTGAAAGGCAGTATATAAATGTAAAACATGATTATAGCCCAGTTTGTGTGTCCCCAGTGCATTAGCTCTGCTTGAGCCAGCCTGAGCCCATCAAGTGAAATAGCTTTAATATGACTTTATCTTGTAAGGTGTTTTTCAAAACTGACTGCTTATCCCCAGAACGCTTTATGAAAGTTAAATATGGGAGATAAATAATGGCAAGAACAGAGCAGAAGAAGGGCCATTGCCAATGGAAGTGTAGCTGTTGTAGCTGGATTTTGTAAAGGCTTTTCCCCCAGGATTTCGAGGAAAGCAAGTTTTGGCTGGGTTTGCAGATAATTCACAGTGATTTATGTAGGGCGAAGCAAAAGAAATACTCCTTTCTGAGCCATAATAATCAGTGGAGCTCTGCCGAGGTCTGAATTTTTCCCCCTCTCTCTTTTTCTGGCTTATCTCTCGTTAAATATATTACAGCATGCCACTTACCCTGGAGTGCAGTTTGGGACCCTCTTGGGTGCCTTTTCCCTGCACAGGAATGTAGAAAACTGCTGGGGAGATGAGTATATATCTATATAGCTGTATATATCAATCTATATCTCTATCTACCTATCTATACCTGAGAATAAAGTCAATCCCAGAGCCACGTTCTTGGGAGGCCAGAGCACACTGCAAACGTGTTTTGGCTGGATGTGTGCTGAAAGGACTTGTCCTCTTTCCCAAAGGAAAGGATGAATTGTGTATCATGTACATCAGTTGGCAAAATCACCTTTCAGAACGTTATTTGCATTTCATTGCAGATCTCTTAGAAATTACCACGTGAATTTTTTAGCTTGAATATGTGTTTAGAATTTGGGTGGAGGGCTCTTGTAGAATGAGAGGTTTCTTTATTTAGCAGAATCACTTTGTGGAAGATCAGAAACTGAACTGCAATACTTACTTTTCTCAGGTTGCTAACTCTCTGTTGAGTGCTTGCTTTTAGAAGTGCTGTTAGAGTAGTTAGGATCGAGTAACTTCCACCAGTCAGCTCAGCAAAGAGAGTTCCTGCAAAGCTGGGACAGAGCAGCTTTTCTCAGCTGTGTTTATAGCTGTTTTTCTAGAAGTGTCAGCCTGGTCCGTGGTGCTGTGTCAGTCTGAGGGGATGGTTCTCAGAATGGTGTTTCTAATCATGTGATCCCATAACCTGGCCCTTTCCAGTTCCCCTTTCGAGCCAGGGTTTGCTGTCACTTCCTGCTCATGGAGCAGCCTGTGACTTTCTGCAGTTGGGAAACAATGGGACTGCTGGTCATTATTGTGAAAGCTGCTTCAGCTTCAGCACTGAGGCCAGAATAGCAGCAGACTCCTGATCTGGTCTCAGCCATAATCACTCTAATTATAGCTGGGTGTCTTTCAGGGTCACAGCGACTGGGGAGCCAGGTTTCACCCACGCCGGGCTGCCCTCTGAACTGCCTTCACAGCCACTAAATCTGTCAGCCTACAACTGCCACACATCTTCCAGCTCTGCTCAAATTGCTGGTTTACAGTTATTTTTTCCAGCTATTGTAAATTGCTGCTGTAAAGATGGCTTTGGAGTGATTTTCAGCCTTTATTTATTTGTAGAGCATAGATTTTCCAGCCTCTGGATGAGAATGGGGAGCCACGTATAAAGATTTGAAGGTCCCTGACTGCAGCTTGTTTTGTTGTTGCTGCTGTCAGGCTTCTTATGAGCCTGTGGACCTCGAAGGCTCTGCAGAGAACAAGTTTGGAACAAGTTGTGGCATTCACAAGGCCAGTAGTAACAGATGGGAGAGGAACAGGCTTTATATGTGGACTTGCTGAATTTCAGTATAAAACTTTGAAATTATGTAGCAGCTGAGTAATACTGTGGAGCTCAGCTACCCAGCTCTCTCAGATGATCTCAGAGAGTAAGTGGTTGTGTGCAGTGATGGATTAGAGGGTCAGGATTCTCTAAGTTTGATGGCACAGAACTCGTCATTGTACCTTCTTTGGTAGGCTGAGGATGAGGACAGGGTTCTCTGTTCCATCCCTGCTCTGCTGGGTGGCTGCTCTCAAGGGTTGACTGGGATGAGTTTGGGGGTGTTTGTTACATTTGTCACTTGTGGCTGTCAGTTGACTGCAGGAACAAATGAAAGCCACTACTGTCAGGGACTTTTGAGTGATCATGTTGCTTTCATGCAGAGTTTTGACAAGACATCTTCATAGTTCTTTGTCTTTAAGATATTCCACCAGGTAGTTCAGTGGGACCTTTATTCAGTTATTAATGTTTGCCAGTTAAAGGCTATAGTGGCATTTCAGACGTGGCTGTGATGTGATTTTTAGTGCAAGCAGATGCTTTGATAAAGAAGGAAGAAATGGATTATTTGCATTGCAAGTCTGTCATGTGTCTGTCCTTTGAGCACTTCCTTCATTGTGGTCACTCTGTCACAAAAAGGACACTGGAGATGGGGAAGGAAGTTTCCAGGAAGGGCCACAGACATGGTCAGTAGTTTCCAGGTGAGGAATCACAAATCAGTCTGAATTTCCTACCTCTGAAAAGGCAGCAAAAAGGAAGATGTGACAGTGGTTTGTGCCAGCAGTGGGCAGGGGAGAGAGGCAGCAGTGGAGCAGGAATGGGATGGAAATGGGATGGAGCTGGGCTGTCTGTGGAGCAGGAATGGGATGGAAATGGGATGGAGCTGGGCTGTCTGTGGAGCAGGAATGGGATGGAAATGGGATGGAGCTGGGCTGTCTGTGGAGCAGGAATGGGATGGAAATGGGATGGAGCTGGGCTGTCTGTGGAGCAGGAATGGGATGGAGCTGGGCTGTCTGTGGAGCAGGAATGGGATGGAAATGGGATGGAAATGGGATGGAGCTGGGCTGTCTGTGGAGCAGGAATGGGATGGAAATGGGATGGAGCTGGGCTGTCTGTGGAGCAGGAATGGGATGGAAATGGGATGGAAATGGGATGGAGCTGGGCTGTCTGTGGAGCAGGAATGGGATGGAAATGGGATGGAAATGGGATGGAGCTGGGCTGTCTGTGGAGCAGGAATGGGATGGAAATGAGATGGAGCTGGAGCAGGAATGGGATGGAAATGGGATGGATGGAGCTGGGCTGTCTGTGGAGCAGGAATGGGATGGAGCTGAGCTCTCTGGAGCAGGAATGGGATGGAGCTGGGCTGTCACTGCAGCAGGAGTGGGATGAAAATGGGATGGAGCTGGGCTGTCACTGCAGCAGGAGTGGGATGGAATGGAATGGAATGGAATGGATGGAGCTGGGCTGTCACTGCAGCAGGAGTGGGATGAAAATGGGATGGAGCTGGGCTGTCACTGCAGCAGGAGTGGGATGGAATGGAATGGAATGGAATGGATGGAGCTGGGCTGTCACTGCAGCAGGAATGGGATGGGATGGATGGAGCTGGGCTGTCACTGCAGCAGGAGTGGGATGGAATGGAATGGATGGAGCTGGGCTGTCTGTGCTGTTTCCTGGAACAAGGTGAAAAGGGGCAGGCTCAGACAGGCTGGGTTCAAAGCAGGCACTGGGGCAGCCCTTCCCACTGTGCCATTACCTGTGGAGCTCTTTGCCATGGGATGCTGTGCACTCTAAAGCTGACCTGGGTTCAGAGGCAGGTTACACAAGCTGGTGGAGAGGAGAGCTGCTGCATTGATTAAGCACACAGAAGCCATCCCTGGCTCAGGAAGTTCTCAGGAGCTAATGGTAGGAGGCTGGGATAATGCTTGTCAGAAGGCTCACGGTGTGCTTCCCTGTTCTTACCTGCATCAAAGTTGGCTTTCTTCTCCCAGCTTTGCTTTGTAGAGATGTCAGCCAGGTCATGTGCAGGAGGGAGGATGAGAAGTCATCTGCCTTGCAGAAATAAGAGAACTGAGACTTTGTGATGAAGAAATGGAAACTTCATCAAACGGATTGCTAACACTTACACAAGTTGGAGCACCGTGTTCCATTAATTGTTTGCTAATATCCTGCTGCTCATTGGGCTTTAGAAGGAATTCCTGGATTGAGCCACTGCTGCAGTTGATGAAAGTTAGGAATTGAGTACTAAGTTGAAGCTGGAGAGGGAGAATTTCTTGGGTTTAGCCCCCAGGATTGCATTGGACATTCTAACAGATGCACTGAATGCCTGGCAGTGCTAGTAACAGGAATAGATTCTTTCATATTTCCTCTGTGGGGCTTGGCTAAATGGTACAGATGGGTTTGTGCACCACTGGGAAACCTGAAGCTGTTAATCAGAACTGGCAGTGCTAAAAACTCATTGTAAGACACAGCTTGCTTTTCATACTGCAAACTAAATATGGGTCTGTTGGAGATCTGGCAAATGAGGAGGGGAAATTTGCAGTTACAAATGAAAAATAACTGACTCAGCCAGGCTGGTGCATGGCACTGGCTTGCTAGTCACTGCTAATGGCCTTTCAGTCATCAACCACTGACAAATACAGTATTATGGATTCTTCTGCAGACTGCTTGATCTTTTTAATGTGTTTCAGATTTTAATTTGCATCATTTCTCTTACATCACCTCTTATGAGTGATGCTGGATTCCTGGGAGTGAATTACAAAATGTGGGATAACTTACAGTAGGCAGTAATGAAGAGGAATGGTAAAACTGTACAGATAGTTCTATAAACAGGGATTTCTTTACTTTCACTGGAGAGACACTGAGAGCTTCAAGCAGAAAAAATAACACTATGACCAGCACTGACTTACAGGGATAAATATTTACTGGAGCCTTGTGATCCTCAGGCAGCCCAAATTTAATTAATTTTTTTAAAGGTCAGAAGGACAAGTGCTCAATTTGTGTTCTGATGAGAGGCATTAAGACTGTGTTAAAAATTAAATTTGTTGTTTAATTACCAAGCATTCATTTGAGGCTTAGAAATGGAATAGTGTTAACTGTTATGTAAATACAGTTAGAAGAAGCAATTGTGGCAATACGTGAATTTTTATGTAACTTTACCTTTTGTTACTAAAAAATAGTTACTTAAACTACTGTGGACTATGGGATGTTAATGTGAGGGAGCTTTTTGTGGAGCAATGACCCAGTGAGAGTCAGTGCAGTAGAAATAATAATGGCCTCTCTGGGGGAGCTGTGTCTCAGCAGTGGGGCTTTTTCATCCCTGTGCTGAGCTTCTGGAAGGTTACTCACAGAATGCTGCAGCTCTCACTGGTGGCATTTCATCAAATACCACGTGAAGCCCAAAACACTCAAATCATTCCAGTGTGACTCTAAATGAAACCTGAGCTCTTCAGGGTATTGAACTTGCTAGAATTCTAATTCAAATATTCTAATTCTGTTTAGCCTTCTTTTCTTCAGAATCTGAAGGGTTTGCTTTCAACCTTCTCCAGGTCAAAGACCGGGGTCCCGAAGCCACCAGAAGGTTTTTTAATTGGTTTTATTGGAGCATTAATTTGGGAGCTATCCTGTCTCTGGGAGGCATTGCCTACATCCAGCAGAACGTGAGCTTTGTCATCGGGTACAGCATCCCCACGGTCTGCATCGGGATTTCCTTCATGGTTTTCTTATGTGGGCAGAGCTTCTTCATCACCAAACCTCCTGATGGCAGTGCCTTCACAGACATGTTCAGAATCCTCACATACTCCTGCTGCTCGAAGAAGGCCCACGGGGAGCCCTCAGCAAACAGGTTTGTCACGAGCTCTCCTGTGCGGCCCCATTCAGAATCACCCAGGACTGAACTCCTCAGCTCACACTGCCTGCCAGGCACTCCCACCACAGGCTGCAGCACCTTGAGCAGCTTTGCTCTGACAGCTGCAGGCCTGGAGCTGCTTTCTGGGAGCTCAGGGATGGAGGAGGCACAGTGAGGTCCCTGCAGCCAGACCATGGCATGGAGGAGGCACAGTCAGGGCACAGTGAGGTCCCTGCAGCCAGACCGTGGCATGGAGGAGGCACAGTCAGGGCACTGGGGGTCCCTGCAGCCACACCATGGCATGGAGGAGGCACAGTCAGGGCACTGGGGGTCCCTGCAGCCACACCATGGCATGGAGGAGACACAGTGAGGGCACTGAGTGTCCCTGCAGCCACACCATGGTGTCAGTGAGCCCTGGCTCCTGAGAGTGCACTGTACCCTGACTGGGCTGCTCTCAGCATTAGTTAACTTTCTTCTCTGGCACATATGTTTGTGGATGCCTTCTGGTTTGAAAAGCACTGTCATCTGCATTTAGTGCTCTAAGGAGCTCGATGGGGAGCCAGAATTTTTCCACTCTGAAGGGCTGCCCATGGAGTACTGGTGGTTGAGTTGAAGCACTGGTAAGAGGAGTCGGGTGCCTGCTCTGCAGTGGGGTTTCATGTGCTCAGATTGCCAAACAGTTCAGTGACTTAACAAGCAATGTCACAAAACACAGGTTACTCCAAGTTCTGCCAGTTACTTAGGGCTGGGCTGTGTGGGGAGGATGGGAAATGAGGAAACTCCATGGCAGAAAGTTTCCTCTGGTGTTTCCACCTGCTGGGGATCCACTCTGGCCTGGCTGTGTTGCTGTAACTTACATGAATTACTCATTTTGGAAATGCATTAGCTTTCTATAAGGAGGAGAAGATTGACTGCCAGTTGTGTTGAACTAAACATGTCAAATCCTTTTCCAAAGTGAAGGCCCTGGAGTGCTGCACCCGCCTCGCAGGCAGAGCCTCTTCGAGACGGCCAAGCTGTCTCGGGGGGGGCCCTTCAGAGAAGACAAGGTAGAGGATGTGAAAGCTCTTGTCAAGATTATCCCTGTCTTTCTGGCTTTAATTCCTTACTGGACAGTGTATTTTCAAGTGAGTACTTCCATATGGTTACAGTTATATTTTATATTATTTCTAATTTAACATTTTGGGGGTGTTCTCTTATAAATGGGAAACTTACCTTGAAGTTGAGAGATGAAAAGTGACTACTAAGGAATGCTCTCAAACAATATTTTGACCTAATAATAGAAAATAAGAAAGCATTACAATTGTAGTTAAGAGTTGCAGTTGTACAAATTCACAAATCTTAAATACTGTGCTGTGTTTCATCTTGCAGCTGTTTCATATAGGTCAGGCTTAGTGATCTAGAACTCATTTTAATTTTCAGGTTCTGCCTTATGGAGATGATTCGGGATATCAGATACATTTGGGGCAAAACAAACAATGCAGAAATTGTTTTCAAAGACACAGAAATGATTCTTGGTGTTTTTAGTTAAAATAGCTACAAGGTTAAAAAAACCTTGGAATGTTCTGACTGTAATTGTTTTCAGTTTGCTGTCTTAGCATTTCCCCTCTGGTACAATCTTTGTTAATGGTTACAAAATGAAAAATATCTTGCTCTCAGCACTCCTTGTCCAAGTAATCTCAACTCCTCTTTCCTAATGCTAGATGCAGACAACGTATGTGCTGCAGAGCCTCCATCTGAAAATTCCTGAGATATCCAATGACACCAACTCCATCCATACGGTGAGCAGAGCTAAACAAGAGCCAGGGCCTTTCTTTAGTGGAAATGCAGGTTAGGGCAGTATTGTACAACAGTTCCAGGGGATCAGGGGGCCTCAGCCCTTGGGGGTTTAGGAGCACAATGCACATCCCAGATTTGGTTATTCCAGCAAGTGCCTGGAGTTCACACCAGCCTGCTCTGGATGCATTCAGTAACTCTCACTGCTTTCATGCAGAGTTGCTTTATCCTTCCTTGGCCAAAGTCTGACCTTTGGAGAAAGCTGATCAATCTCCCTGCCCTGAGTTTCCAGAGCAGGCCAGCAGCATTTCTGCAAGCCCAGAAGGAATAAATACCCATCCTTAAGTGATCCATTAGCATTTGGAATTTGAGACACATTTGTTACTCTAGACTGCCTAATCAATAATCACTTTACCTTCAGCATATTGAAAGAAGCTGTTCAGTCGATACTTTTCAAGAAAGGCTGGCACCATGTGATGCAGAAATGGCACAGAGAAGTAAAACACAGGATTTACAGGGTTTACATGTGTTACACCACCCTCTCTGGTCATTTGACAAGTGTAACTTGATTTTAATTGAACTTTGCATTTACATTAGGAAGAGTCTGTTTCTGCTCTTCTGTGGCATATTTCTGATAGTTCTAAGCTTAATAGGAGACAGACAGAGTTTGGCTGTTAAATGCTTTTCATGACTGAATTAGGTAAAAAGTGCAATTCTGTCAGATGAGAAACTGAGCTCACCATGTATCAGCAGCCTGATTCAATGAAAACCTGAATGGCTGAGTATTTCCTTCAGCTTTTAAACACTCCTATTTATAAATACTTATGATTTTTCACAATGTTTGTCAGTGCATTGTTGTTCATTTTGGATCAAAGGGTTCAATTAAAACCTTTTTTGTAAAATAATAGTAAAAATTACCTCCTAAGTATGAAATTGCCAGCTCATCTCCCCCTTTCAGTTCCCAGCAGCCTGGCTGACCATGTTTGATGCAGTGCTTATCCTGATCCTGATCCCCCTAAAGGACAAACTGGTGGACCCCATTTTGAAGAGGAATGGCTTGCTGCCATCCTCCCTCAAGAGGATTGCAGTTGGGATGTTCTTTGTGATGTGCTCTGCCTTTGCTGCAGGTAAGAAAATGACTTGGGCATCTCCTGACACAGTCAATTGTCCAGCTCACTGCTACAGCATTTTTTAAAGAGCTGTGTGAATATTTAATTCAGCATTATTCAGATCTTTTTTAGCAGGATAGTTGGTATGTGCCTTCATGGATGCATTTTCCTCAATAAAGAGGATTGTATCCAACAATTTACTAAACTGTTTTGAACACTTGCAATAAAATTGGAACATTTTTCCTGCCTGAAGTAGACTTTGCATATACCCTTCAAAAATGTTTCTTCATACCTTCTGACTCACAAGTATAAGAAAGCTGAAATTTTACCCAAAGTCCTTTCCCCTGCTCTGAAATAATAAAGTTAGGTCATGGCTGAACAAGAGTTTCCTCCCACTTTGGGTTTTCTCCCCCCTGTCTTTCTGTTCCCTAATGTTTGGGAATTAGTGTAGTGTAAAATAGCTCAGCTGTTGCATGAAAGGGAAAAGATGGCAACTCTGCTGGCCCCATAAATCAGCTGCTTTTGAGATGATTTCAAGTTGTTAAGTGCTGCTGATGTGGAACTGAGCATCTCTGAGCAATGCTTCACAGAATCTATAGCCCTCACCAGCATCACTGTAATGAACATCCTGATAAAGCATTATAGCATTCCATAAATTCATTGCAGCACTTGGGATCCCCTATATTTTAGGGAGAGGGACACTTTGTATGGTTATTAAGATTTCTTTCAATAAGAGAGGTAATTATTAGGCCAAGGTCACTTTGTGGGCAAGGAAAAGTTCTTCAAGCAAAGTCATTTAAAGTTAAAATAGAAGTGTTTCTCTTATTCCATGTTTCTTAGGACGCTGCTGCTGCAGAAGAGGATGATGTAAAACACTTAAATGTCAGCTCTTTAAATAGAACCTGTGGGCTCACATATGAGGGAATTCAAAACCAGCAATATCTGTCTTTATTTGGACTGGGGAAGAGCACATCAAGCTGTGATAGCTGAGCTGGGGAATGGGCTCATACAGCAGAATTCCTTAAAGTTGCTGATGCTTTTTCCAATTCACCTGCAAATGTAACACATGCTTTTGTTGGTTTGCTCCTCCCCAAGTCTGCCCCAGTAGAAGCTGAAAAGGTGAATTCTTTGGGTGATTTTTTGCAATCTGTTTGGAAAGTTTTAACCTTTTGGAGTAACTCGACATCTCTTCATCATAACAGGAATTTAAGAGCTTCAGTCGTGATAAATTTGGGGTTTAGGAAAATGTTTCTTTCTAGCAAGGTGGTGGTTTCTGTGTCCCATTCAATTTTTATGTTCTCATTAAGTGATATTTATAGCTGCCATATTTTAACATTTTAAAATACACTATTAACACCAACCACTGCTGCCTTCAAGAGGGACACTGAATGAAATCTTAAACATATGAAAATGTCAAGAATTTGCAATCATTGCAATATCTTAATGCTTTGTTTGTGCCATATTTCCATTTTGACTTGCTTATCTAACAGCCATTAGTGGTGGACACTACTCAGGCTGCCTATTAGATTGGTTAGATTATTTAAAATATTTTACAAGCTGTGTTAAAATACAACTGATTAGATTTAATGAACATCTGCTGTGCTTTATGCATCTTATGGTGAATTCTGAGCAGCAATGTTCAGGGTTATTCAGCTGGAAAATCTACTTCATGTATAGAGTTTAAACCATTATAGCAAGAAGTTCAGATTATTTTAACTACTAAGTGTAAAATTAAATATGAAACTTGTCTATCAAAGTCTTAAGGGAAGAATCACTAGATTCCAGATACTGAAGGACTTTGAAGATGAATTTATGGCAAAGTTTGGGATATTGTAGTTGTGCTCCTAGGTGGCTCAATGGTTATTTTGTAAGAGTATAAGCACATTATACTTATATATTATACTTATACTTACACATTATACATCCCTTGATGTTTTGAGGTGCAACAATTCTGTGCTGAGTGTAAATAAAGGAAATTATGTCTGAGCACTTAGATGACTTACTGCCTTGTTTACACTTGAATTAAGTTCCACTCTAAAATGTTGGGCAGCTATATTAAAATTAAAACATCAAGAACTCCAGTTTTATTTTAATTACAGCAGCTCTTCATAGTTCAGAGGGCACTGAGGTAGGTGAAGAGCTAAAGAAAGATAAGATGGGTCACCTAAAAAGAAGTGAGGAATACAGAGAGAATGTGGTGGCTGGCCTGACATGAAGAGTAATGAATTCAGAGCAGTCTTTACCTAAACCCAGATGTTTGTGAGAACTTTCGCACTGTCACTCAGCACAGAGGGGCTGATCTGGCTGCTCCCCTCAGGCTTTTGTGTCACAGATTTGGGAAGACCCAGGAGAGCAGGAATTGTGGTGTACATCAGGAATTGTGTTTGTTTCTGGGAACTGCTGCCACTGTGGCTCAGAGGGGTTCAGCAGCTCATGGGATGTGTCCATGGCACCCCTGGTGCCTCCAGGAAAGGGAAGTTGGCACTGAGGAAGCAGATGGAGTCCCTGCACATGCTGTGATAGCCAGGAGCAGCCCAGCTGAGCCCTGCACGTGCTTTTGGGGACACACTTTGTGTCCCAGGTGAGGGCAGGTCCTGGTTTTGGGGACACATTTTGTGTCCCAGATGAGGGCAGGTCCTGGTTTTGGGGACACATTTTGTGTCCCAGATGAGGGCAGGTCCTGGTTTTGGGGACACATTTTGTGTCCCAGATGAGGGCAGGTCCTGGCTCAGGACAGAAGGAGCCCCGGGCTGACAGCACTGATGGAGGCTGGAGTGGCAGTGGCTCAGGCCTGCTGTGGATGGTGATGAATAAATTCACTTTATTTCCAAGGATAAGGGATGAGAGTTCCTTTGTGCAGGTCTCTTTGGCTGCAGCAGGGAGTTTCATTAACTATTAGCTATTCTCTGTATTTTATGGAACTGTGAGTCAATCGTTTAATCTGGGCAACTTCAACAAAACCCCACAGCATTATTTGATATTCACTTTCTACCCTAAACTGTTGTGCTGAGCAAGCTACAAATGCTTATATTTTACACTATCCTGTCTCTTTTTCATTCCAGATGAAGTACTTTCTATGCAATGTATTGCTTGTAAATCAAGCTCTAATGAGCTCTTGGATATCTTTGGATGAAAAGTGTCATATAAATGTCATAATCATATTCATAGAGGGTTTTCATAGCTCTACAGGACTGGTGTAGCCATTTCCATAAGCAAAAGGGTTTCTAATTTATGAATACTATGGTGGCAGTTGAAATGGTTCAACAGTGCAAAGTAGTAGTTTGTGAAAATGAGATTGTCTTTAGAAAAAGCCCAGCACAGTGTCCATGAGAGCTCTGAGCTGATCCATCCAGAAATGGGCCAAGTGTTTGTATAATTATTGCTACTGAATGAGAATATAATCACTAATTCTATGGCAGAACAACCATGTCTTCAAATAACACCAGCAGAAGTAGTCTGAAATGCTTTATGTCAGGAAATAAATACATATTCCTATTGGATAGTTCCTAATTGCAATGGAGGGCTGAATCCTAATTTAATTCTTAATGTGGAGAAACAATGTTTGCATCTTAGCTCAATCTTTTTTCCCTCCCCTTTCACATAGGAATTCTGGAAAGCAACAGACTGAAAATTGTGAAGGTTAAAACAATTAACCAGACAATTGGGAATGTTACATACCACGCTGCAGATTTGCCAATCTGGTGGCAGATTCCTCAATATGTGCTGATTGGATTCAGTGAAATATTTGCAAGTATAGCAGGTAAGAGTCTGTGTGTGCTTAAATCTGCTTTTGGATCTATTGTAAACGATGGAATCTTAGAAAAGAAATACTTCTCAAATCATTACCAGTAAGCTCTGATGTTCCCAAATGCACTTTCATACAGCATTGCTCAGTTTAAGTGGCAAAGCTCACCCCTGGCTTGCACATTTGAAGCCTGGCTATGTAAGACTGTGCTTTCAAAATTGAATTTCAAGCAGAGTGACACCTGAAATACTTGTGTGACATCTAGTTAGTGCTGGATATTTGCAAGCCTTAATGGAAAACAATCTACTCTTTCAATATTGTATTTTAATGCAGTTTTGAGTCCTCTGTATATTCCTCTGTGTTGGAAATACAGTTTGTGCTTTGTGATGTTTTTTGGTCTTACAAACTGAGCTCAGAGCTTAGAAAGTCAATTAGTGAGTGGAAACACCTTTCTGAGGGCAAAGGGAAGAAATAAACCACATTTAGAAAGACTTAGCAGTTTAAATTCATGTTACTTGAGTTTTTCCATCTATGAACTAAGAAAAGTTTTTGTGAATATTAATACTGAAGTAGGTATTTTCTATCATTTTATCTACTTCATTTCTAGATCAGATTTTCTGTAGCTGTTGCAGTACTTCAACATGACTTTAATGAAACTGAGACCCTGATCCCATTTTGTGTGTCTTGAACAAGAGATCTGGAATTCCCCAGCAGTGCCCTGGTGCTGTAGCACAGCTGTGTGCTCTGGGTTCTGCAGCTGAAAGTGAAGTGGGAGGAGAGCAGCATAAAATCAGATTTCCTGCTTTGTTTCGTGTGTCAGGCTCATGGCAGGAGGAGAGCTCAGGCCATTCTGCCATCCTGCCTGTGTTTCCAGCCCTGTTTCCTGGGCTGGCCCAGGTGAATGCTCCTGGAATGCTCCAGGAGGAGAGCTCAGGCCATCCTGCCATCCTGCCTGTGCTTTCCAGCCCTGTTTCCTGGGCTGGCTCAGGTGAATGCTCCTGGAATGTCCCAGCACAGATTGCTCCTGTGCTGCCAGGACAGAAACAGCTCTGAGATCCAGGTTTGGCCTGCCCCAGCAGGACTGTGGAGCTCCCTGCTGCAAACCTCCAAAACTCCTCCAGGGGCTCCTGTATAGCCCATTTTAACCTGCCTGCAGTTCTGCTGGACTCCAGCCCCGATTATTAAAGTGTTGAATTCTGTTTGCAAGTGCTGGGCTCTGGGCTCATCCCCTCAGGCTGGCAGCACCCCCAGCTCCTTTCCTTCGACTGCTGTGGCTGAGCTCCTGTTTCACTTCCCCTGGGGAGGCCACTTTCATTCTTGGGCAAGCACAGCAGCCTGAAGTGAGACCTCAGCTCTGGGACACCCTGCTGGCCCTGGCCCATTTGTTCCCTCTGAGTGCAGCACAGAACTTCTGCTCCAACAGGCTCTGGTTACTCGTGGGCTGCTGTCATCACAGTTGTTAGGAAATAAAATAAGGTGCTTGCATGGCTTGGCAAGGAGAATAAAAGTGGGGCTTGTTAGTTTTTCCTATCTACTCATTTGCTGTCCATTTTGTTGTGTGTATGGTGCCTGTCACAAATGCCAGCACACAAAAATCTGAAGATAAAATCTTGCCTGATTTAGTTAGTTACTCCAACTAAGGCTGTATTTACCACTTTTATCCAAAGAGTAAAATGAATTACTTGTAGCAATTTTGTTACCGTTCCACTTCAGTCCTTACTCAGATAAACAGATGACTTATCAGAAACACCAGTGTTCATGGAAAATTAAACCAATTTCTTCCCTCTTACACAACCTTGTTTCTCTATCAGGTACTATTAATAGTTCATAGGTGTTTGCAAGGGAAAAACAGCAAACCTGTGTGCAGGCTGTGGAAAGTTCTTGAGGCACTCTCTGTTTGCTGAACTCCAAGCTGAGAGGACTTTGCTGGAGTTCTCTGGAGAAGTCTTTAAGGCTTGCACAATTCTCATGTGAATATTCTGCTCCTTCTCATGGGAATATTTTGCTGTTCTGCACTGCTGGGTCTGTACCAACAGCATTAGAACTTCAAAAACTCCTGGTCAGTGTTTGAAAGAAATGCACCAGAAATTCTATGCAGAGCTTAATTGCTTTGTGTCGTGCACTTTCACTGGATTTGTTTTACAAAGGTTCTTTCCTGCCTTCTGATTGTTACCTGAACATAATTCTTAATATTTTTAAGAAGGCCTCTCAAGACTCAGAGTGTACTTTACCAATTCAATATTAAACTTGATAAAGGCATCTACTCTGCTATGAAATTCAGGCTTAAAACAAGCAAAGTGTTATTGGTTACAAAACCATAATGATGGGGAAATGTTTGTTGTGAGCAAAAAGGGAATAAATAGCCCAAGAGCTGAAACATACCTCTGTTTTTCTGTTTACTGTAAAACTAAGCATATTCTTATTAAGCCACATTAGTTACACTTGAGGTACCTTTAAAAAGATGACACACATTGCATTAATCTTTTGTATTATTCTGTCAATCCTCCTAAAGCACCCTTGTCTAACTGGGAATTGTAATCTCACATGACAACACCAGCGAGGGGCTTTAATTTCAGAAGTGCTTGTTTACAGGAGCATGAAATCATTATCAAGGGCTGCCAGCAGCCAAAGGAGCTCTGAAGGCAAAGAAAACATTTTATATTCTTTATGCCAGATTAAATAGTAGTGTTGCTGCAAAAGTCACTCAAATTTAGAAATGTACCTTATTTTGTTGCAAAAAGTGCAGGGTTACAGTCATTTTGGTATTTGTTCTGAGTCTTAAGGTCTTTTTCCAGCTGGAACAGTCAGATCCAGTGTATCTGTAAAATAAACAAGAAAAGAAAGAGTTCAGATGCTTTCATGTGTTATACCTGAGCTTAACTGGTGCAGAACCTTGAGAAGCCTGGTGCCCAGGCTGTGGCAGCTCTGATCACTTAACCAGAGCTCCCAGACAAGCTGCTGTGTGCCCAGGGCAGTCTGCTTGCTTTTCCTTAAAGTGCAGGTGGCCAGGTAAATGCTCCTTGGGAAAGCTGAATTGTCACATTGGTCACAGAGCCTAGGGAACACAGGCAGGGTTAATTCTGGCAGTAAATGCCACTGTGGGCAGCTGTGTGTGTGTCTGTGCTGCTCTCTGGCTGTGCTCTGAGCTCAGGGAAGCCCCACACTGAGCAGGGGGAGAGTTTCAGTTCCTGCTGGCCCCAGGGGGATGGAGCAGCAGGGTGGTGGCCACCAGCCACAGCTCAGCTTCATATTAAAGGAATTGGCTGGCTGGGTAATCACACAGATTTTGGTAAGTGTGTTTTTCAGTCTGCTCATGGCCTGGAAAGTAGAAGTTTCAGTTAAGCATCAAGGACATGGCACTGTTGAGTTTTAACACAGATTTTTAGCACAGTTATTATTTTCAAAATAGGAATTTGTCTACTGCTCTGTTATAGTTTCATCTTGCATCTAAGCATGAAATAATGTGAGGAGGCTGCTGCTGGAGCACTGAGAGCACCCAGCTCTGCTGCCCTCCCAGAACAAAGCTGCTCCCTCACAGCACGAGGGTGCCTTGAATTGTTCATCCTTTGCTCCCAAAGAAATGCCCCTGGATTCCTGTTTGAGCTGCCTGGAGCACTCAGACAGCAGTGGTGCTGTAAATAAAGCATGCCTTCATTATGCCAGACATGAGAGTTATGCAATTGCAGGTCTGTAATGCTCTCCTTGCAAAGAAAAATGTTAGATGAGGTAGCATTAATTCCCAGTATGAGCAGAGTGTTTTGAAACAAGCATTTCACCTGTCAGAAAGAGCTCTGCAAGGAATGCATTTGATTGTCTCTTGTGAATAACCCCATTTGATTTTTGACAGGAGTATTATTCTAAAAAGGAGAGTTAATCATGGGCATTAATCTTTGTGTGGCAGAGCCTAACCCAGTGAGTGCTCTTGGTACACAAATGCAGTAGCACAGATTTGCAGATGGATGGTCACTGCTACCTTTTTCTTGGGTTTGTTGGTTGAAATTTGAGCAAAGACAGCTGAAAGTTCAAGCCCTTTATCTACAAATCTTAAAAAGAATTGGTTGCTAGCAAGTAATAAACTCAGAGAATTCTAGATCAAAAGTAAATTAAATTAAAATAATTACTGCCTTTCCAGTTCCAGTTAATTTCTCTGTCTGCACATTCAGAGACAGAGACACTGAGGCTGTAAGAAATCAATGTTCATGGCTAATGCAAGAGTGACTTCTTTCCTTCTTTCCTCTTTTCCTTGTCCTGCCCAGCAGCCAGGGAAGCAAGGGAGGTGGGAAACGTGGAAAATGCCAAGTTTGAGCTGGTTTCATTCATTTCCTTGAGGATAATTTTAGACAGAAAAACGAATATGTTGGTTCAGAAGATTCCTTGATTTTACACATGGAACATAAATAAGATCAAAGTCTGTGTCTCAACACTGGGTTGATGCATTGCTGACCTTTAAGAGAATTCATAAAGCAATTCAAATGAGCTGGGACTGCTAAGGATTCACTACACACCTGTGCCTTCTGGAACACTTCTAGAACAATCTACTCTCATTTCTTACATATTCTAATAGCATTTTTTCATCTCTGCACGCAGGTCTAGAATTTGCATATTCAGCTGCTCCCAAGTCCATGCAGAGTGCCATTATGGGGCTGTTCTTTTTCTTCTCGGGGATTGGCTCCTTTGTTGGCTCTGGATTGTTGGCACTGGTGTCCATTAAAGAAATTGGTTGGATGAGTAATCACACAGATTTTGGTAAGTGTGTTTTTCAGTCTGCTCATGGCCTGGAAAGTAGAAGTTTCAGTTAAGCATCAAGGACATGGCACTGTTGAGTTTTAACACAGTTTTTTAGCACAGTTATTATTTTCAAAATAGGAATTTGTCTACTGCTCTGTTATAGTTTCATTTTGCATCTAAGCATGAAATAATGTGACTGTGCAAAATAATTCACTGCCCTCATGAGAGCTTGAGGAACACCTCTGCAGAGCCTCAGTTACTTGCTCAGCTGTTACTGTATTTCATCTCTAGAAATTACAAATATTTTCATTTCAGTAAAAAATATTTAAATTATGTGCAGCAGAAGAATATATTTGGTATAAAGTACTGAAATTGCTTTCTGTGGTTATGAGAAGTAAAATGTACCCATTTCTCTCCAAGTGATTATTCAGCTTCCTCATTTCAAGTGACTTCATTGAAATTACCATGAGTTAATTCTGCACTTCTGTCTGCCAGCTATTTATACTCCTAAAGTTCAACAAATCACCTGCTTTGAGTTGCCAGTGGAGGTTAAAAATAATTACTGGCACCAGTAGGTGGCACCTTGGGAATTTCAGAAAACCCTCCCATCCTCAGTGGGCTAATTAATTCAACCAGGAGGAGTGTGAACAGTTCTGCAAATGTCTGCTAGACATGGCTTAAAACTGCAGCCTAAACTTTCAGTTTGGTCCAAGAGAATTTGCCATTTCAACTGGATCTGCATTTACCAAAAAGCAGTGGTGTCTGATCCCTGCATGTGCCACAGTTGGCATCTGTGGCTTGTGAGTTGTTCTTTAACAGCTGCAAGAGATAACAAGCAGCCTGCCCTTATGGAAGTGTGCTCCCCAAAGGAATATTTCATCCCATTGAGGCTTCTTGCCCCCAGTCAGGTTCAAAATTGGAAAAGGAACCTTTTCTGCAGTGCAGAGGTCATTCAGCTGGTAATGGCTCAGTAGGGGATAGGAATTCCACACAAATAATGATGGTGCTTCTTCAGCCCCTTGCCTTCTTCTCTGCAGCAGCTGGGAGAGCACACTGCCAGATCTTCCCTCTGTGAAATACTTGGGCTGTGCTAAATCTCCCCAGAGGTGGCCAGCACTGGAGGGGGCTGTCTGTCCTGGGCCATGGGCATCATTCTGAGCAGCTCAGAGGCCTTTGGGCACTGTCAGCACTGGAGGGGGCTGTCTGTCCTGGGCCATGGGCATCAATCTGAGCAGCTCAGAGGCCTTTGGGCACAGTCAGCACTGGGTGTTTGTGGCCTTTCCTGGGCCATGGGCATCATTCTGAGCAGCTCAGAGGCCTTTGGGCACTGTCAGCATCAGGTGTTTGTGCCTTTCCTGGGCCATGGGCATCATTCTGAGCAGCTCAGAGGCCTTTGGGCACTGTCAGCACTGGGTGTTGGTGCCTTTCCTGGGCCATGGGCATCATTCTGAGCAGCTCAGAGGCCTTTGGGCACTGTCAGCAATGGGTGTTGGTGCCTTTCCCCAGCAGGGACACACCTGGCTCAGGTGTGTAACTCTCTGTAGCTCCATAAATCCATTTTCATTGCTGTAACATCATTGGAACAGCTGAACTTTACCTGGGTTTTCCAGGGTAGGAATGACATCCATGACATCACTGACATCCCATCTCATGGCATCATGGGGGTGTCTGACTGCCTCCAAGATCTCCTGAGGAGGTTCCCTCTCTGCCAGCACTTCATGGCTGGTTGCTGCCATTGAATTGACTTGTTTCTCCCACCAAAACTAAGATTTCATGGGTTTAATATCCCATCTCATAAAGGATAATTACTACTCTTTAAACACATCTGCTCTTGAAATGGAGATTCACATCTATATTGTGTTTTAAATGTCAAGGAAAGGCTCAGTTTAATTTTATTGCATTTTATGATAAGTTCATTTAATTGAATCTTAAGTTTCAGTAATTAAAGTAATTGAGTCTGAACGTTTATAGGCAGCTGGTTAGGGTCCATGTACACGTCACTGTTTCAGTCTCTGCAACACATCTGATAATTGTAATGGTCCAGTTGGCTGTGCTGTGCTGGAAATGAGCCACAATATATTGTTCTTGGAAATCCAGCAGGAGCTGGGCATGCTTCCTAACAGAGGAATGATGTTTTAGCAATGAGCTTCCTTCATTTGACATTGTTCAGTGTCCAAAGCAGTAATTTGTGACAACTTATGGGGGCATCACAGGTGGACTGAACCACAAAGAAGTCACCTCTGTTTTCATGAACTCCAAACTTTGTTGCCAAAAAAGGCTGAGAAACAATTTCAATAATGGCTTTTTTATATCTATGGAGTTGCCAACTTCTTCCTTTACAGCATTCATTTTTTGGTTTTTTTTTTTTAATTTTCTTTTGACTTGGTCTAAGGCATTGGAGAACAAAAGAGAACATTGCTTATCCTGTGCACACCTTCCTCAGCAGTGCCAGCCTTTGCTGTGGATAATTAAAATGAACTTTGCTGTGGGATGGAAACATGGTTCAGTTTGGTTCTGCACAAAAGCCTTCACCACTCACACCTGACCAGATTCACGTTTTCCTTTGTATCATCTCACTTAATGCTTTTTTCCTCCCCAATTCTTCCTAGGCAATATCAATGGCTGCCAATTGAACTATTACTTCTTCCTGCTGGCTGCTATCCAAGGAGCCACCCTGCTGCTGTTCCTGATTGTGTCTGTCAAGTACGAGCACCACAAGGCCAAGGCGGGCGAGGCGGCTGCCAACGGGAGGCTGTGAGCGTGTGGGCACCTGTGCCAGCAGCACCAGGGAGGGCAGTGCCAGCAGGAGCCCTGCTGCCTGCCCAGGGACCCTGCAGCCCTGCCCTGTGCCCCTGGGCAAGTGCCTTAGGGCAGGGGCTGCTTCTTGCACTACGGCCTGGCAGGGACAGCAGAGCTGGGCACGAATCACTGCAGGCCCTGGAGCTGCTCTGTGCCCATGGGAGCTGAATCCATGCCCTGCAGCTGCTCTGTGCCCATGGGGAGCTGAATCCATCCCCTGGAGCTGCTCTGTGCCCATGGGAGCTGAATCCATCCCCTGGAGCTGCTCTGTGCCCACGGGAGCTGAATCCATCCCCTGAGCTGCTCTGTGCCCATGGGAGCTGAATCCATGCCCTGGAGCTGTTCTGTCCCCATGGGAGCTGAATCCATCCCCTGGAGCTGCTCTGTGCCCACGGGAGCTGAATCCATCCCCTGGAGCTGCTCTGTGCCCATGGGAGCTGAATCCATCCCCTGGAGCTGCTCTGTGCCCATGGGAGCTGAATCCATCCCCTGGAGCTGCTCTGTGCCCATGGGAGCTGAATCCATGCCCTGGAGCTGCTCTGTGCCCATGGGAGCTGAATCCATGCCCTGGAGCTGCTCTGTGCCCATGGGGAGCTGAATCCATCCCCTGGAGCTGCTCTGTGCCCACGGGAGCTGAATCCATCCCCTGGAGCTGCTCTGTGCCCATGGGGAGCTGAATCCATCCCCTGCAGGCCCTGGAGCTGCTCTGTGCCCATGGGAGCTGAATCCATCCCCTGCAGGCCCTGGAGCTGCTCTGTGCCCACGGGAGCTGAGTCCATCCCCTGCAGGCCCTGGAGCTGCTCTGTGCCCATGGGGAGATGTTTCCTGGGCTCCTGAGGCTGGCACACCTGGAGGGCACTGCAGGGACTCACAGAGGCTGTTCTGACCCAGGCTGAACCCTACAGAAGCTCTGCAGGCCAAGCCTTCCCTGAGGAGGGAAACCCTGACAGGAGCCTCAAGCAGTGCATGGGAGTCATTTTGGGCTGAGAAACAGGGACAAATTAAATTACAAATCAGCACAGCTTAGATTTTATAATTGACCTGTTACTGAGGGTATATCAAGGGTTCCAGTCCAGACTTGCAGTCAGGAGCATCCAGGACTGAGTCCTAAATCCCAGTAGCTGCTCAGCAGCCACTGCACAGTTAACACTTGTTGGGATTGCAGCTGCTTGACTGCAGCAATGGTTTTATTTTTGAGCCTGCATTAGATGTGTTAGGGCAACAGCCACCTCTGGGCAAGGCCCTGTTCAGTCTGACACTGTTCCTCCCCTAAGGACTATTCCAGGTATTTGCAGGAAGCAAAGCAAGCTGGAATTCTGAGCAGATCAATGCACAGTAACCACGTAGCAGCCTTTAGCCAGGTCCTTCAGCCTTGTCTTACTTTTAGTTAACGTGCTCCAGGGTTTGGATCTTTCAGCAACACATTCCTCCAGCAGAGCAAATGGCTTCATGTTCAGCCTCTTGAATTTTAATGATTTTAACAACTGTACTTCAGAGTGTGTGCACACTGGTATGGAAGGTGCAAGGAATTATGCAGAAAGAAAATAAAACCTTTTTATTAATGCATTGAATTTTTATAGTTTCCTTTGTCTGCAGTTCTGTTGTTTAAAATGTCCTTATTTTGTACATGGACATCTTTTTAATGAGTTTACAAAATAAAATGAACCTCCATGCTGTGACTTCCGACCCTTTGTTTCTAGGTGAATAAAATGATGCTATAACTGCTTTGTTCTTTAGCCTTTATTTCCTGAAGACACAGAGGAATGGTGTTGGATTTCTGAGTGTCCACAGGCACCCCATTAATTCTGGCAGACACTACAGCAGTGTCCTCTCCCTGCCCAGATAAATCAGCAAAAATGCTTCAGCCATTGCATTCCTTAGCATGATTTAAAACTGCAATGACTGAAGAATAATGTCTCTATGAGGAAAAACTAATTTCCTTTCCTAACTCTGTTTCAGAAGCTCCATATGCTGTTTGTGGAATATCCCATTCATAACCAGCTAAAAAAAGCCAAATATTAGGAGAGTGGAAGCTGCATAAGAGATAGAACAGGGACCAAATAACTTTTCCCCTTTTTTAGCTGCTGTTCCCAAACAAGAACCAGCCTGTGGTGTTTCACCCCTGCATCACTGCCTGCAAAGCTCCCCAGGCCAGGGGAGAGCTGGGCTGGGCCTCCTCAGTGGTGCCAAGCTAGAACTTGGCAAACTTGGCTGGATTTCTCCAGACTAAAGCTGCCAGCAGCTGGGACTGTGCAAATATTTAGAGCCCCGAACACCACCTTTAATCTGATCCCCAGACCCTGGGAAATGACTTCTCCTTCCCATGGAAAATGTTACCCCTTTGGGGTCTCTCAGATGGCAATATTAGGGTGCCAAGCAGAACATTATCAAACTTTTCTGTATTTCTCAAAAACTGAGGTTTGGCTCTCTGGGGTGTTCCTGCTCTGCAGGGCTGGCCCCAGGGCCAGAGCTCCCAGGGCAGCTCTGATCTGCCCCTTTCTGAGCACTGATGAGAAATTGATAAATTGATAAATTGATAAATTGATAAATGGATGCATTTCCCATCTGCTGAGGGGTGGTTGAAGCTGAGTTTGAGGCCAGGAGAGTGATCTGCAGGTTCCCCAGAGGCAGAGGCAGTGCAGGCAAGAGTCAGTGATGCTCTGGGGCCAGCACAGCTCAGGGCCAGCTCTGGGCACCCTGGCAGCCTGAACCAGCACTGCCCCCTGTAATTCAGTTTGCATTTGGGATGCCTTGGCTCAGCTCCAGGCACAGGGAATTATGAGCATTTCTCAATGCTAATCTGACACCTCTCATCAGGGGTTGAGGCCTCTGAGTGACTCCAAGGCTCAGCTGATTCCTCCTCCCCACCTCATCTTGCACTGGTTCCACCCCAGCACAGAAATGGGAACCAACCAATTAACTTCATGACTGAGCACTGCTCCTCATTAATGGAGTACCTTGAATGTTCAGGGTGTGAATCTTACATTCACTCCTTAGGTTGTCCAGAGCAGGGGGAAGATCTGACAGGAGTTACCCTAATGGATACCTTTAAGCCTTTGTCTTTCCAGGTGCCTTAAATTCAAAGCACAACACAGAAAAGCCCTTGTTCAACATGAGAGGAGGTCTCTCAGTAAATTGACTTGTAGAGAATTGCAGAAATAATTAGCATTGCAGGCTAATTACAGCCTCCCCAGGCTCCCACCAGGGCTGAAGGAGGGGGCCTGGTTTTATTTGAGATTACAGGGTGGGTGCATTGCTCATAGAATGGTGGATATTTCCAGAATACAGCAAAACCTGGTTTTTCTTGCCTTTGCATCCATACTGAATATCCCTCCTCAAAAAAGGAAACTTTTTTCATTTATTCTGTTTATGTAAACCTCCAGCATGAGTTAAATTACAGCAGTTTAGACATCCATCACTATTTCCCTCAAAAGTCTGTAGTCACCCCTGAGTTGGTTTTATTTGTGTATTTTTGGTGTTAACAGAACTTGCTCAGGGCTGACATGAGACAAGGTTGCTCAGCTTGACAATAAACTGGTGTTAGAAGCTGCACAGAGTTCTTAATTTCCAAAAAGCAATTTCAAACTCCAAATCCTATCCCAGTGATTTTGTTTCTATGCAGAGCAAGTCTGGCACTGCAGCAAAGCCCTCTGGGGAAGGAGATTAGAACAGTTCCCATCTGAGCAGGCAGTGCCTTGAGACAGGTGCATTTCTGAGCCAGCAGAGCAGGGAGTGACCCAGCAGGGCTGGTGAGAGTGCCCTCAGCTGAGAGCCTGGAGCTGCCTGCAGGGACAGAGAGCAGGTGGGACCCAGGGCCAGGGCACTGAACACAAAATGCCATTCTTGGTTATTTGCTTCCTTACACCCATTCTTCATTGAACCCAAAATGCCATTCTTTGGTTCTTTTCCTACTTCCTTATACCCATTTTTCATTGAAGCTGCTCCCTCTGTCAGGACACTCTGCAGAGCTCTGTTCCAAATAGGCACAGAAGGCTCAGGGATGTCCCTGAGTGGAGGGAATTCTGTGCCCAGCAGAGCTGGGATCTGGCAGTGTCCCCAGCAGTGTCCCAGCAGTGTCTGTCTGTCCCCAGCGCTGTCTGTCTGACCCCAGCAGTGTCTGTCTGTCCCCAGCAGTGTCTGTCTGTCCCCAGCAGTGTCCCAGCAGTGTCTGTCTGTCCCCAGCACTGTCCCAGCAGTGTCTGTCTGTCCCCAGCGCTGTCTGTCCCCAGCACTGTCCCAGCAGTGTCTGTCGGTCCCCAGCAGTGTCTGTCTGTCCCCAGTGCTGTCCCAGCACTGTCTGTCTGTCCCCAGCACTGTCTGTCTGTCCCCAGCACTGTCTGTCTGTCCCCAGCACTGTCCCCAGCACTGTCTGTCTGTCCCAGCACTGTCTGTCTGTCCCCAGCACTGTCTGTCTGTCCCAGCACTGTCTGTCTGTCCCCAGCCTGCAGCTCCCAGGGCCAGCACAGACACTCAGCAGCCACCCCAGGGCACCCTGTGGGAGCTGCTGCTCCCCGAGGCAGGAGGGGCAGCCCGTGCCGAGGTGTGACAGGAGCCCTCCAGTCCCTCCTGCAGGGAGCAGAGCACGGCCATGGCCAGGGGACAGCAAGGGGAGCCCTGCTCAGGCTCTGCAGGTGGAGCTGCAGGCAGGTGAAGCACTTTGGGAAAGCTCAGAGGCCCCTGTGGCTGCCCTGGTGCCACCCTGGCACAGTTTGGAGCACCCAGGGCCTGCTCTGGGTGACCTGGTTGGGGCTGCAGAGCCCCCGTGCCCCAGCCCCTGCTGCCCCATCCCATCCCATCCCCTCTGAGCAGTTTTCTCCTGGCTGCTGCAGCCATGGAAACCCGTGAATGCTCTGTGCCACACGCACTGAGGGTGCACTTTTGACTTTAATCACTGATGAATAACCTGGCCCTAATGACAAATGGCTTCCCTGGCGGGCAGGACGCTGCAGGGCAGCCCTGCCAGCCGAGCACCTGTGAGGGCTCTGCTCAGCTCCAGGAAGGGGCTCCAGGCAGGAGATGCTCAGGGCTGGGCTCACCCGGGCCCAGGAGACACTGAATTAATTAAAACGTGGGAGAGGGTTCCTGTTAATTGACTGCACATTTCAGAACTCTGTCAAACACTGCAAGTCCAGAGATGCCCTAACTCCAACAGACCTGGATCTCTCTGGTTCAGCTTTACCTTCCTCCTTCCCTGTCCCACTCACCAGGCACAGCCACAAACCCACCCTGGCAAAGCCTGGCAGTGATGCCTTTGCAGGCTGTCAGGAGTTTAATGATTCCAAAAATCACATTACACATGTGCACAATGCTCATCTATTTCTCAATTCCAGCTCATCAAATGGATGAGCTTTAACGTGAGGAAATTGTTCTGTGTGATACAAAACTGCCCAAATTCAAGCCCTTATAAAAGCACCAAACACTACCATCATTTAAAGTGGGCTTTTCAAAGCACTCTCATGTTGCTGGAACACTTCAAATATTTTTACAAGGATGTCAAAGCAGAATATGGTCAAATAGCCTTTTGAAGTAAAAGCAGCAGACATCAAAACATAAATCCCCAGGCTGAGAAAAACACTTGGAGAGTCTTGAAAAGCAACAATCCCATCTCATCTGCAGCTTGCAGCTTCCCAGAGCAGCAGTGTGTTTGCTGATGGGGTTAAAAGCAGCTTTGGCCCCTGTGGGGGCAGGAGCAGCTCCAGTAAATACCAATGTACACACTGCAGAGCAGCTCCAGTAAATATCAATGTACACACTGCAGAGCAGCTCCTGGAAATACCAATGTACACACTGCAGAGCAGCTCCAGTAAATACCAATGTACACACTGCAGAGCAGCTCCAGTAAATATCAATGTACACACTGCAGAGCAGCTCCAGTAAATATCAATGTACACACTGCAGAGCAGCTCCAGTAAATATCAATGTACACACTGCAGAGCAGCTCCTGTACATATCAATACTCACACTGCAGAGCAGCTCCAGTAAATACCAATATCCACACTGCAGAGCAGCTCCAGTAAATATCAATGTACACACTGCAGAGCAGCTCCAGTACATATCAATGTACACAGTGCAGAGCAGCTCCTGGAAATATCAATATCCACACTGCAGAGCAGCTCCAGTAAATACCAATGTACACACTGCAGAGCAGCTCCTGTACATATCAATACTCACACTGCAGAGCAGCTCCAGTAAATATCAATGTACACACTGCAGAGCAGCTCCAGTAAATATCAATGTACACAGTGCAGAGCAGCTCCAGTAAATATCAATATCCACAGTGCAGAGCAGCTCCAGTAAACACCAATACTCACACTGCAGAGCAGCTCCAGTAAATATCAATGTACACACTGCAGAGCAGCTCCAGTAAATATCAATGTACACACTGCAGAGCAGCTCCAGTAAATACCAATACCCACAGTGCAGAGCAGCTCCAGTAAATACCAATATCCACAGTGCAGAGCAGCTCCAGTACATACCAATACCCACACTGCAGAGCAGCTCCAGTACATATCAATGTACACACTGCAGAGCAGCTCCAGTACATATCAATGTACACACTGCAGAGCAGCTCCAGTAAATATCAATACCCACAGTGCAGAGATCCAGCTGCTGCCAGGGGTTCCTGCTCCCCATTCCCAGCCCTGCTCTGGTGCCTGTGCCCCCGTGGCTGTGCCAGCCTGGCAGAGCAGGGAGCTCTGGGACATTGCCAGGATTTCCAGGAGT